GCAAGCATATCAAAAATGGGTGAGTAAATTGTTGGGGTACACATTTGAAATTCACTACAAGCCGGGGCCTTGTAACAAGGTAGCAGATGCTCTATCTCGGCAATTCTCACCAGAGTGTTCCTTCTTAACCACAACCTGTGGTCTAAGTTGGGAAGTGGTTCAGGAATTCATAGTCAAGGATCAGGCCCTACAAAAGCTGATTTCTCAGTTGCAAAATGGTGAAGTGGTTCCTAAATGGTTCATCCTAGAGAGTGGGATTTTGAAGTATAAGGGCAGAGTGGTTATTCCCAAGAATTCTGAGCTCATTACTCTTTTTCTTAAGGAGTATCATGACTCACCTGTTGGCATGCTGGAGATCTGAAAACGTATCAAAAATTGGCAAGTGAATGGTATTGGGAAGGTATGAGGAAGGATGTCACTAATTATGTTAAACGCTGCCATGTTTGCCAACAAAACAAGGCTTCTACTCTCTCTCCCCTCGGATTACTCCAACCTTTGCCGATTCCGGACAAGGTTTGGGAGGACATCTCCATGGATTTCATAGAGGGGTTACCCAAATCTTTGGGTTGGGATTCAATCCTCATGGTTATAGACAGGCTGTCCAAATACGGTCATTTTATACCCCTGAAACACCCATTCACTGCTCAATCCGTGGCTCAAAGTTTCTCTAAGGAGATAGTCCGACTTCATGGAATTCCTTCTTCAATTGTCTCTGACAGGGACAAGATTTTCCTGAGTGTCTTTTGGTCAGAATTATATAGCCTCCAAGGTACACATCTGAAAAGAAGTACTTCATACCATTTGGAGTCTGATGGGCAGACCGAGGTGGTAAATAAGGGTGTAGAGTCTTATTTGCGTTGCTTCGTTAATGGCAAGCCTAGATCATGGGCAACCTGGTTACCTTGGGCAGAGTATTGCTACAATACCGCCTATCACACAGCTACTAAATGCTCTCCTTTCAAGGCAGTCTACGGCAGAGACCCACCTCAATTAGTGCGTTTCATTTCTGGTAGCACTAATGTTCCTTCTCTGGAAGATCAGTTGTTGGAGAGGGATGCTATTCTAGATGATTTTAAGTTTCATCTCACAAAAGCTCAGGTGTATATGAAGCAACAGGAGGATAAGAGTAGAAGGGATGGCACTTTTCAGGTTGGTGATTTGGTGTATGTGAAGCTCAGGCCATACAGGCAGCAAACCTTGGCCAGGAGAAGGTATTAGAAACTTTCCCCTCGGTACTATGGTCCTTACCCTGTGATGCAAAGGATTGGGGAGGTTGCTTATAAGTTGGAACTTCCTCCTACAGCACGTGTCCATCCAGTTTTTCACATCTCTCAGCTCAAGCAAGCCCTGGGAACAGGACAGCTGCTCATACTTGACACTGAGCCAGAGGCAGTGCTTGGGGTTCGCACCAACCAGACTGCCACTGAAGTTTTGCTGAAGTGGAAAGGGTTGCCAGATTGGGAAGCCACCTGGGAATGTTTCTCTGACATAGATCACTGATTTCCTCACTTCCACCTTGAGGACAAGGTGAATCTTTGGGAAGGAGGTATTGCAAGGAATCAGCCCAATGTGCAGCCCAGGCCTATGATCCATTACACTTATTCCCGCAAGAGAACTAAGTCGGCTGGAGCATCTAAGTGAAGAATGAGCTGGAATAATTCTGTTATGAGTTTGTTAGCCTTGAGGGAAGTTTTGTAATTCTCTTCCTAGTTGATTATTCCCTAAGCTGGTCAGTTTGTTATGATTAGTGGTATTAATAGGAGGTTAGCTGGAGGGAGAGGTTATGCTGAAAAATATTGTTAAGCTTTTGCTTAGTTTTGGAGAGCTACTCTTCCTCTCGAATGAAGAGTGATTGTATTGTTTGGTTACCTTGATCATCAATACAAATATCATCCCCTTACTTAATTTTCTGATCAATCCCCTGTTTTTCTATTTCCTGTTTTGGGTTAATTCCTAGCAGTCTACGACACCGCCAGCCACTGCTTGTGCAAGCTACCGGCGTTCACCGGCCGATATTGGTTCAAGATCCGCGTTTTGAGATCTTCCCACCCAATCAGAGGTCGCCGGCGACTTTCCCATTGTTACCAACGGAGAGCGTCTCCATCCATTGCCACGACTGCGGCCTCTACTTCCGCCAATCTATAAAACTGGTAGAACTGTTCCCCCCGGAGAATCCACCCGTCGGGGTCGGATCCGTCGAAAGTCGGCATATCCAACTTCCTATATTTCCAATTTCCGTTCCCTTCTCGTGGGTCTTGATTAAAATTTCGCATTCCACCTCCGGCGCCGGGATCCCAGTTGCCAAACCTGAGACCTCCATTACGGCATTACCCAGCGGCGTGTCATTAAAATTTCCTCCTCCAAATGGTTGGTTCACTTCTTCATCCGCCGTTCCTTTTCCCCTATTCTGCAGCGCGGCCATCATTGCCCTCATCTCCTCAAAAACTTGTCTTGATTCTCCGTCAGGGTATCTGGATGGAGTTTTCTCCGTCTCCGATTTTTTTCGAGAATTTCCTCTATTCGTTCTCTTCTAGCGCCGCCACTCGTTCCGGTGTTACTGTCAATGGCGTCGGCGGCATGGTGGCTCTGATACCAACTGCAATGGGCTGGTGGTGCACACAACACAAGATGGATGTTGTTGGTAGGTTGTATTCGATTTAGCTCAAGGCTTGCGTGAAATAAACATGGCTTTAGGCCATGACTCTCATATGTCAATACAAATATTTTCTGAATGCCTTCTAACTTAGGGACAACTACTATATATACTACCACTACATTACAATAGTTGGCAAAAGCCTTAATTGCTAATTTTACTACTACTTGTCTCCATTCCAATTTACCACAGTAACTAATGCTAATAAGCCAAATCTGCCAAGTTTGTCTCCTGCAACTTTAGTGCTGCTGCTTGAGCAAGTAGTTGAGAGTTGTGGGTGTTGTCCTGCTGCTGCTGCTTGTGTCTCCTGCTGTAAGTCACGGTAATGGGTGGGCTTTGTGGGTTCGTTGCATCAACCTCTTTCTATGAAAGCTAATGGACATAGTTTGTTTGAATCTTGACATCCCCACTGAAGCCCTCAGACAACCCATCAAGGACCGCCCCTGCAATTGTGTGATAATGTCCAAGATTATTTTTTTTCAAAACCTATTGGCTTCATGCGTAATCATGTGGCTTGGCGGATTGCTTATGTAATTGATCAGTGAACTGCTTGCACCTCTCAGTAGAATTTATTACTGTGTTATGTTTGGAATAGCCTTCCTCTTGATATAAAAACATGTATTTGGATGGTTGCAGACGTTGATTTACTTTTATGAGCCAATAGAAGTTGAGCAAGACCAGCTCATTGAAGGATCTGTGACACTAACGCAAAGCAAGGAGAACCGTCGGTTCATGAATATTCATCTTGAATACACGTGAGCCTCTTGACAACATATTATAACTGGATGGTTGCAGTGAAATGTATATATGTGATTTGACATTCTTTTCTTGCAGTTCTGGTGGCCGGAAATTAGTTAAAGAAAGCGTTATGCGCTGAGCTACTCATGATTTGGAGTTCCATGTATTGGAGCAAGTTAGCTGCCTGATGTTGCTGGTTCAACCATAACGAGCAACAATCGATACACGTTACTGTATTGTTGAAGGCATATCTATCTTCATCAATTCTATATCCTAACACAGCTCTGAAATAGTGAAATGTAAGATAAACAAACTGTATGGGTTTAAGGGTATGGATCGCAGTGTTGGTAACATCGAATTTTTGATGTGGACTTGACACCCTATTCTTTTTTACAATACTCCTTCAAGGGTGTAGTTTTATTAGAAATAGTAATTGTTACCAGGCAATTCTTTGAAAACAGAGCTCTGTATTAGAATGTTATTGCTATACTATAATCTATAGCTGTCCATTAGTATTAAATAGTTAAATTTATCTTGGGTATCGCTTTTATTATCTTTTATAATTTACCCCCTTTTGGTGTATATTTTCTACGATAAATGCAATTTTGCATATAACAGTGACCTTTTTTATAGTTTCGGGCAATGTAATGGGGTGTTTTTTGGGATTCAAGGGCAAAACGAAGTTGCTTTGAAAAGCTATAAGAGAATTTTGTTGGCGAAGTATATTTCACTCAACAGTTCGAATGGATTTCAAATTGTTAAACCAAATTTTGCAGCCTAATAGTGTTATTGGAGTTTGCATTGACACCTTTTACCAAATTTAGCTAAAAGTTTACTTAATTATTGTAGCATGTCTATTATTACATTTTAAGAAATTGATTTTTTTTTTTTTTTTTTTGAAGCCAAAGAAATTGATTTTTTTTAATTGCAAGTTAATTTATAATAAAATAAATATGAAAAGCTGGTATACTTAAAATTACAAAGTCATACAAATTCATCAATTTCTCACTTTATGCTAAATTTAGTGTTTTTTTTTTTTTTTTTTTTTTTTTTTTTTTTTTTTTTTTTTTTTTTTTTTTTTTTTTTTTTACAAAATGCTAAATTTAGTTTGATTACATTGGTTTGTTAAGTATATCTTATCCCAAGGATCGGATGGTTATATACTTCACAGGGATAATTTTTGTATGTTTTCAAATACCTTTAGAGATTTTTATTTTATTTTTCTTAAATAGACATACCTTTAGAGATTAAACATTAAAATCAATGGTTTTTTTTTTTATTTTTTAATTTTTTATTTTTTTAATGAAAACTTTAAAAGTCTTTAAATGCTTGGCCACCAAGTAACCTAGACCAATTGTATATAACGTAATCTTGAATGCTTGGCCACCAAGTAACCTAGCTAGACCAATTCCCAATTCTAAGTGCTTGAGCCCCAAGGAGGCAAGAAACATTATTCTTGTTACTATATAAATCATTATTATTATAGTTATAACTTCATTTAATTATTATGCACTTTGTTTTCTTCCATATTTACCTCTGATCACTTAAATTGTTGATGCAGGTGATGGAAGACGAGAAGATACTAAATTTCAAAGGCATAATCTTATACATGTCGGATCGAGAAATCCTTAAAAACCCATGCTACATTAATGACCAGATTATAGAATTCTACTTTCGGTACTTGACATTCACATATGACGAACAAGACATCCTCTTTGTATCCCCTGCAGTCTCATTCTTACTCGCTAATTCTGATTTTGCGGGTATTAAACACACTGCAGAATCCCTCAAACTCGTCGATAAAAAACTTATTTTCTTCACCATCAACAACACCATCAATAACGAAGATTTTTCGACAGACACGGAAGAATGTACACATTGGAGTCTACTAGTCTATTACAAGACCCTTGATGTGTTTGTGCACCATGACAGTGTTAATGGACTAAACCACTCGGACGCCAAAAAGCTTTATAATACGGTCAAGGATTTTGTAGGGGATGATGATGACGACGACAAGCGGCCTACAAAGATTCGGAAGAACGGAATAGGCAACAAAAAGGTGGATGATGATGAAGAGGCGGTATATATAGAGTTTTATACTCCACAACAAAGCAATGTGTATGATTGTGGTCTTTATGTCATGAAAATTGCTGCCGTTATATGTGAATGGTACTTGTCTAGGAAAGCCAGTGATGACAAATATTGTCTTTGGTATCAAGTTGTTCGAAACCAAGTCCTCCGGTGCTATGTTGAGAACCAAATGCGATCTGATTTACTCGAATTTGTGGATTTGCTCAAGGATAATCACTCCGGCATTACTTGATTTCTTTTTTTTTTTTTGGATTTTATGATAGTAATTATTCTTTGAGTTTTTGTACTTAGATGACGAAGTTAAGTTTTGGATTATGAGTCTATTTTTAGTACTTTATGTATGTAGTTAAACAGATTGAGATTTCATAATTCTCATTGATTCACATGTATAATTTAATTTCATACTTCCACAGCAACTTGGATATAACCATGTTAAGAGATGTGTTAATGTTGTGCATGTTTTCATAGTTCAATTCTCTACAAATTGGTTTTCTACTTTTCTTCTACACATAGGATTTGTAATTGAAAAAAAATAAATATAAGAAAAGCTAGAACGAAGTACCATTAATTAGTTTTCAAAATTCTTTTTTTTTAAGGGTTTCAAAATTCTATCTCATTGCGTAAGGATTCTCAAACATAATTTATTAAATTATCTTTTTGTACAAGGAATTGATTAATTGATTTTACATGTTAACAATCTATCTGGTGCTCTTGACCCTAAATTCATCATGCTATTCCCAATAGTTATATTTATGGCTTCATGCCCTTATTTCGAGTTAGTTAAAATCTTGCTGATCTTATAGCAATGGTATAGCTAAAACCCACTTAAATTAACATGCTTTCAAAACAAAAAAAAAAAAAAAAAACCCACTTAATATTAATTTCCACTAGTAATTATATAAACGCTAGGACATCATCTGTTGTTCAATCATATACACCAGGCCATGTAATAATTGATTTGGACGCGACATATGCAAGTGTACGAGTCTAGGAGATGATCTAAATCCTTGCGTTTGTCTCAATGCTCTATATTGATTATCAAGCATGGAAAAAACAAAAAACAAAAAGAAGAAAAAGGGTGTAGGAATTTGGCCATCATCATCATCTAGAGTTGATTGGTGAGTGCATAAATTAAAGTATTCAATGAAATGACGAACTATATGCACTTGAGACAAAGTTGGTTGATGTAAGTGTAATCTTGTCAAGATTTGTGTGCTTTTGATCAAGGATTTTATCAATTTTCATGTATCCAAGGTTGTAAGATTATAGTATATTCTAAGACTACTTTCACAATCATATATATAATTCCAGTTATAACATTTTATATGGAATCACTGTGGCAATCTTAGGCATGATTTTGATCATCTACGTATTGTCCCACCATGGATTTTGTTCTTCCAAATTATTGTTTTTCATGTTCGGAATTCCGAAGTGGCTTGCTACAATTATCTTTAAGGGGCAAAGTGAGTTATATATCCCTTCAATTAGCATAATTAAACTAATGTAAAATTTTAGCCATCGATGTAATTGTGCAATTTATAAAAATGTTCAATGTTATAACAACTCATATGACAAATCTTTTGGTGCAATTTGCTCAAAATAATAGATTAATTGAAAGGTTTGTACTAGCTATATGCATATAGAGCTAGATCTATTAATCATTCAGTATATCAACAAAAAAAATTGTTTTGAACAGTTTTGTTCTCAAACGAATCTAAATACTATAGTTTGTTTTGTTTTAACACTTGGGCAAAAAATATAGACAAAAGTCATCAAATTCCGTACATTACATGAGAATATAAGAGGAATGTCTTGATCTATTCATTTTTATAGTCTTCCACATCAAATCTTGGACTTACACTCTCTAAACTCAACCTAGACCCAGAGTCTAATTAAGCCCTTTTTTATTTTATTTTATCTATTTATTTTAGGAAACTTCTCTAATTAAACTGGAAAACTATGTATATGGACCAAAAGAAAAAGATTTAAAATAATATCAATTGTGGACGTACCACTATATAGTACAGATAAAATAAAAAAATATATTAATTTGTAAACCACTTTTCAAATACCAAAGATGATATTGTATTAAAATAAGATTAAGATGGAGAAAACTTTTAGGTGGTAATAATGGCTCAATTATTGAGAATCTCTAGTTTATGCATGCCAAATGTATTCCCAACTTTCCATTCAGAAGATCGAAGTATATATATGTCCTTTTCTAAACCCTCCTTTTAATTTTAATTTGGTGACATTTATTCCACTTAATCTTATTTTTCTCTACAATAATCTATCATCAGTTTGGTACATTCTTGTCGTGTATTCATGCAAAATAATTAAGTAGAATAATAAAATTTTGATATTATTGCCTCCCATCGTAATCCATGTCCACTCCTAAGCTCAAGGATATTATGATCCAATTGATTGCTAGCTTTGATTAATTGTTTATTTTATTTTATTTTTATAATTAGCCTTAAATTCTAATATATATTTTATAATGGGAGGTGGAAGATTTAATTAATAAATGGGGGCATACACAAGCTGCATTAACAATAATTACTAGCTTTATGAGATCATATTTTTCCATTTTACCTACTAATTGTGCTGGAAAACACTCCTTTATTTTAATATACTTTTCTCTTTGTTATTCATATTATTATTTGTCCTGCATTATGCTTGAATTTAACGGCTATGAATTAAGCGTTATGATATGTTATGACCTATAGCACAGGATAGATGATCCTATATTATGAGATAAAAATGTCGATCACCTTGATCATTTCAAATAATTGTCACACTACAAATCTACAATATTAGAATTGATCATGCAAATCATGTGTATCACTTACATAAAATGCCATACCTATATATTAATACAATTATATCATACAAGCATATATATTATTGTTATTAATATTGGAGTTTTTAGAACGTGTGAGTCTAGTCGAGTTGTACCCAACTATTCAACTAACCACAAATGTTTCCACCTAAGTTTGAACCCAACACATGCATGTATGTAGCATAAGCACAAGTGCACGAAAATATCTAGGCAAAATAGCTCCTACATAACCAGCAATGTCTCTTACAAAAATAATTGAATGTGCTCACTTTAATTTGCGTGGCATACATCTTGAATGGATTACAAGCTCAAAGATTTTAGACCAATCATTATATAGTTAACTTCAATTCCTTTAATATAGTAATTGCGTGACTCTTTATAGACCAAAATAAGTTGATTAAGATAAGTACTATATATACGCAACAGTTTAGGGTTTATAAATTAAAAATGTAAGATTATACAGGCCATATTATGTTTCATAAACTAACCCCCTACACTGATTGAGAGGCAAAAAAAGGTGGGCTAAATAAACAATCACACTTTGATTTATCCTTAAATTAATTGAACTTGGCAACCATTTTGTCAACAAAAGAATTCCAACTTTTCATATAGATAACCCATTACTTATTAATCAGTGAAAGCAAAAAGGTTGGAATTTATAAAGTGATCGAATTTATTTGGAACACTAGTATTGTAATGTTGCTAAGTGTCTTTATCAATTTAGCCAATTGTTCTACACGTAAAGAGTTGAACGATCATGCAACTACTAAAGTATAATTGGTATCTTATACTATTATTAATAAACAAAACTAATATGTCCTCAAAAAAAATAAAATAAACAAAACTAATATTTAATAAATATATATAACTAGCTCGCCTCTTTGATTGAACCATGAGTTATCTCTCTTCAAATGATGGATTTGCATAGATAAAATTACTACATTCTCGATCAAATTCAATCTACTTTGCAAAACTTTGACTTTCATATTTTATATTTAGTATAGATTATAAAATTGATGTTTGGAAAATATTATTTGAGACTAATGGCTTCATGTTTCTGCACACAATTATAGTAAGGTTATTACTAAATGAAATAAAGAAAGCTGATCAATGAAATAAATCGAAATTTATAATAGGGAATAGATTTTGGATAAAATTGGACTTTTATTAAATGGAATGGTCATATTTGTTGTATTTTTCAGTATCACAGTTTGTTAACAAAAATTAATAATAAGTAAATAGTAAAAAGAATCAAAGTGCTACAAAGTATTTTAATTATCACAAAGAAAGCAATCGCTAGTTCCTAATAGGCGCTTGTACGGTGCATTGTACAGTCGTTTTGTAGAAAAGAACATGATATAGAAAAGTAATGAACATATAGCTATATTGAAAAGAACACACTATTAAATGTAATGAACATATACCTAGAGTGAAAAGAATATATTATCAAAATGTAATCAAATATACGTAGAGCGAAAAGAACATATTTGCACCAAAAAAGAGTGAAAAGAACATATGTCTATGTTATTTGATTGTCATTGTAATGTACTTTTATTTATGACATACTTTTCATTGCTTATTGTGAAATGTTCATTGAATTTTGTCTTCAAATTATGGTGGGTATATATAGATAATGTTTTTTGGTGCAAATATATAGATAATGTTCATTGCATAATATTATCATGTTCTTTATTAATATTATAGATGTTCTTTAGATATGAAAAAAAATAAAATTGGATGTTCTTTACAAAAACAACTATATGTTCTTTACAAAACGATTGTATGTTCTTTACAAAATAGCTACATGTTTTTTTTCGTGTATTTTATCTGTACCAAGCACGGTACAGTTGCATGTACCTTAAAATTTTCACAAAGAAAGTGCATACATTATTGCTCAAAGAGTGAAATTACATGTAAATTTCGTTTGTTATCTTATTGTAGTTTCTTCAAATAATTAAACTTGACTTAAGTTAGAAGAGATTGGATGGTGAAAGTTTCTGAACCACTAAAATAAAAAGGGATAGATATATAGATAAATATATGGGAAATGAGAAAATATCGTCTTAGCTTGATGCACACGTATTTAGCATACAAACTAGTGCGTGACTATGTTGTACGTCTTATTTTATTGCTACTACCCACCACGGACCAAAACCACCTCCACTTGCCTTATTTTTCCATGTTGGTGATTGGATCCTCTCTAGCTGCTATAGACTTTCATTGCAACACATTTTTAATATAACCTCTATTGCAACCAAACTCATTCTTCAAACTTCATAAACTCATTAATTGGGTTGTAAAGGCACCAAGTAATAAATGATAAGACAAGATAAGATATCTTAAGACATGATGATAAGGGTGAACCAAGGAATAAATGAGATTGTTCCAGGCAC